TGCAGCTCTTCAACTCTCATGGTGCTCAGATCTTTGAATATTCAATTGCTACCACAATGTAATCAAATGAGGAAGTTAAAGATCTCAAGATCTTCTCAATAATTGTTTGTTCAGAAAGGGTTTCTCCACAAGCTTTCATCTTATTAGTGATCAGAATCACTCTAGAGATGTACTCACAAACCTTCTCGTTGTCCTTCATGTTGAGATTCTCATATTGCTTTCTGAGAGATTGAAGCTTCACCTTCTTCACTGATGCGTCACCACCGTAACATCCGACCAGTGTGTTCCATCACTATGCCAGAAATAACCTACGAAAGCGCTTTTTTTGGGCTTTAAAAGCGCTTAAAAGCGCTCTCGTAGGTGGCGCTGCTAAAGGTTTTAGCAGCGCTTTTTGTTCAGAAAAAAAAGCGTTCTTAGGCCTACCTATGAAAGCGCTTTTATCTTAAAAGCGCTTTCATAGGTAGGCCTACGAGAGCGCTTTTTTTTGAAAAAGCGCTTTCATAGGTGTATTCAGAATGCGTATAAAGTAGGCCTATGAGAGCGCTTTTTGTTCAGAAAAAAGCGCTCTCGTAGGCCTACCTATGAAAGCGCTTTTAAGAAAAAAGCGCTTTCATAGGTAGGCCTACGAGAGCGCTTTTTTCTTAAAAGCGCTTTCATAGGTTTTCTACTGAAAAATCTAAAATTTAAAAAATTTCTAAACCTGCATTTTTTTGCAGCAAACCTGTAATTCTTAAACCGGTATTTTACAATCTAATCTAGAAATACCAATATATATTAATTTTAATCCAAATACCAAATGTAATTCAAATACCAAATATTATATATATATATACAAATACCATTATAATCAATTCATATCCAAAATATATATACACCATGGTAATTCAATATTAACATGTTTTTAAACGTAACAAAATACACCCTAAGAAATCAGCTATATAACACTAAGTAAATCAATCATAATCTACATATATATCCAAGGTCCTGATCCTGCAATATGAACATAATAACACGGTCAGTGTTGTATACACAAAACAATATATTCATAATTAACCAATTTTCACACAACAATGTATTCGTACCTTATTATAAGATTCTTAGCTCAATAAAATATTGGCACAACTCCTCTTTGAGTTCTTCCAATTGACGTGGCGAGTAATATGGACAATTGTATTGATCAAAATACTATATTACAAAACAAAATATATGCGTGATTTAGTTTAATGTAATAAATTATATGCAAAATCCGATAAGTAATAAAACAAAGTATAAATCCATACCGTGATTGGAATCTCGATTTCATTCATTTGAATGATTTCTTTGATAAACATCAAAACGAAGTATCCGCAATCTATGCCGTTTTGTTGTTGAGGGCACTACATAGAAAAACAAATAAGATTATACACATCTATTGATTTATCAAGTAGCATAAATATTATAAGCAAAATTGTTGAAATTTATATACCTGTACTTTGATCCAATTAATGTTGTTTGATCTAGACCGTGGTACTCGTGCTCCCCTTTGACATCGGAATACTTGTATTGAACTGATGACAAAATTAAAATATTTATTTAGAACAATGACATTGAAATAATTAAATATATAAACACAAACGAATATTTAGAATAATGTCACTTACGTATCAATCACTAGCTTCATTTCCGGATAATTTGTCCAATCACCGTCAACCGAATTCAGGTAATAGACCAATAAATGTCACATATATATTTTCAATGTTTGGGAAAGCTATGACAATAATACAACACAAATATTAGAAATAGTGAATTCACAAAGTCAACATAAGGTTGATGCGATGAACTGATACTATTAAATAAATGCTTCACACGATTCACCATATTTTTAGTAACAAGTTCATATATCACATTGCATATGAAAATATGATGAAATGGTTTAAGATACTCAGACTAGAAATGGGGCAGCATTGTTATCATAACACAAGTTAATCGGAAGTTGCTAACGGAAACAAGAAAATTAAGCATTAACATTCACGAAAGATTCAATTAAATGCGGATAAATGTCAAACGGAAAATTAAGGCGAAATATGTACATGGAACCAAGTCCGGACAACATATTTTATTCACAAAAACGCACATAAAATTAGTTCTGAAATCAATTGAAATGGTACTGGTGTTTGACAATTACCAAAACAAACTATTCTAAACGATTAGAAATAATTAATTGAACAATTTTCATGATCTTCTAATACCGGACAACCTTATACCTCAATAAAGAGTGGCTTGAAAAACCTCAACAAAAACGGTGTAACTCAATCGCATTAATCCACAAACGTAACAAAATGCAAGAATAGGCATCAAACAATTTTAAAGTTCAATTGACAAGGTATTCAAGAGTTCCGGTATAATTCGACATCCAAAAGTTATCAACAAAATTTATCCGGATTCAACATCAAATTCACCAATTCACCATGATTTGATACCAACAGCCATGAACTAACATGAATCTAACATTTATACTCTAGACTCTTGTTCTAAAACAAAGATACTCATCAATCAACCTATTCCTCTTTTCATCCTTTTTACATTGTTCAAGAAATCAAGACTTATGCATATTCAATAATTCAAATATATCATGAATTTTCAAGAACAAAGTTCAACACAATTCAAGAATCATATAATTGTTTAACAAGTCAACTTCAAGAATCACACCCCAATATTCAATTCAATGTCAAATTTACTCATGAAATTAAAACTTTGTTCAATTCAACAATCCAAAGTTTAACCTAACTCATGAACATCCAACATAATTTCATTCCTAATTATCATCATCACCTTATAAACAAATGTTTTCCAAATATGTCCTTGTTCCACTCCTTAATAAAAATAATCATACCATCTAACAATGAGACTAACTATCCCCAATAAACCCCATTTTCACGCAGCCAATACCCAAAGTTATCATGCATAAGCCAATCTGAACCGTCCAAATCTAATAATTAATTCTATGGTTAACTGGAAGAAAAGCTAGCCCAAAACTCATAAGAACACAACAATGAATTTCATTGAACCAATTTAAGGCGAAACAGAAATGTAGGTTAAGCTTGTTCAAGATGTAGGTTTTTGTTTAATATAAGATGAACAGATAATGGAAGAAGATAATGGAAGAAGAAGAAACTTACCAAGATGGAGAAGACGGAACGAACGACGGCGACGACTGAAGAAGACGGAACGAACGGCGGCGACGACGAAGACGGCAGAAATGAGGAAGACGAAGAAATGAAGAAGACTGAACGAAAGAAATGAAGAAGACTGAAGAACAGATTTAGGGATTTTTAATTTAATTATAAAAACAACCTACGAAAGCGCTTTTAAAAGCGCTTTCGTATGCCCCCCATATGAGAGCGCTTCTGAGGTAAAAAGCGCTTTCGTATGCCCCCCATATAAGAGCGCTTTAGAAAGCGCTTTCGTAGGTCCCCCTTTCAGAGCGCTTTTCAAAAGCGCTTTTATAGGGCCACCTATAAGAGCGCTTTTCAAAAGCGCTTTCGTAGGTTAGATATTTCAAATACCTATGAAAGCGCTTTCTGAAAAGCGCTTTCGTAGGAAACCCTATAAAAGCGCTTTTTTTAAGCGAATTTTTTTTAAAGGCTACGAAAGCGCTTTCTCTTAAAAGCGCTTTCGTAGATGCGCTGCCAAAAATTGTTTTTTTTGTAGTGCATGCAGCCTTCGCTGTTTCAGAATCAACAATCTTCTCAAACACATTAGCATCCACACATTGATGGATGTAGAACAACGCCTTCTGATCTTTCTTCCTCAGCGCCTTCTGTGCTACCTTCTGTGCCTCTGTTGCGTCTGCTTCAAACAGATTATAGTCATTGGTGACAAGATCTAACACATCTTGAGAACCAAATAACACGCGCATCTGGATCTTCCAACGATTCCAGTTGTTGCCATCAAATACTGGAAGTTTGGAATGGATATCGCCGTCGTTTCCGTTCATTTTCTACCTTGTGCAATTTACGTAGAAACTCAATGAAAAAATGTTTCCCAAATCCCAGAATTTCTCTAAATTCCTGAGTTTCTAACCAGGGGCTCTAGATACTAATTGTTGGTGCACAAGGAAGAGATAAAAGACAAAAGAAATATATTTACGGACAACTTTAAAATAGTGATTTACAATGAATTACAATAACCTACTCCACTAGCCTATTTATACACAAAATTATATCTTCTAACAAAAATATAAAAATATATAATAATATCCTCTAAAAAGATATTTCTATATATAAATCAATATCTAAAACATAAATTAAATTTGACACGATCAGACGGATATCCTACCAGTTAATTTAATAAACCGTGGTATATATTTTAACAAATAAAAACAGTAATATTCTATATATATATATATATATATATATATATATATATATATATATATATATATATATATATATATATATATATATATATATATATATATATATATATATATATATATATATATATATATATATATATATATATATATATATATATATATATATATATATATATATATATATATATATATATATATATATTTGAAAACTATAGTAATATATTTTACATTTTGAAAGAAAAAAAAATTACAAACTAAATGAAAGAGCATGTAGTTTTATATTATAATAAATCCAAACCAAGAAAATTCAGTTAAAAAACATAAAACAGACAACAAAAGATACCGTAGAGAACAAACGCACACACCCTGTTTCCAACCTGGAAAGCCGTTTTCCCTTATTTCCTCGCACCTTCAAACCTTACACACAATCATGAGTAGTTGAGTAGTATTAACTTTTTTAAACCAATTTTTATTTAAAAAACTTTAATAAAAATAAAATAAAATTATCCTACGCGGCGATAAACTTGTCTTTTTTACAACGTTGTTCTATAAATACCCATCCCACACGGTTTCTTTGTTTTCCAACTAAAAAAAAAGCTACAAATAGCTGCAATACATTCAAAAAAATTGCAAAACATCATTTATGGGTAACTGCTCTTCGTTCGATTCGTCGCAGGTTGAAACAGCTAAGGTTGTCGTACACGACGGTACCATGAAGGAATTCTCGTATGCCGTGAAGGTTTCTTATCTTTTACAATTATTCCCCGAGTGTTTCATATGCGATTCTGATGAAATAGGATTCGACGACGTCGTTTTACCCATGCATGAAGATGAGGTTTTGTTACTTGGCCAGCTTTATTTCGCGTTGCCGTTGAACCGGTTGAGGAGGCCGTTACCGGTGAGGGAAATGGCTGCGTTGGCCGTGAAGGCTAGCTCGGCGATTAATAAATGTGGGGGCGGAGAGAAAGTTGGGTGTCGACGGAAACGGGTTCTGATGTTCTCCGGTGAAGGGAAGGGAAAGTCTGGTCGGAGAGTTTCGCCGGAACATGGTTGTGCGGACAATGGTGTTGGTGTTGGTAGGTCGAGGAGCGGGAGAAGGGTGAATTATGGTGGTGGTAGAGGGAGGTTTGTGGCGGAGTTGAGTTGCATACCGGAGTAGGGGTAGTTTCGGAAGAAAATGATTTAATCGTGTTGTAAATATTCACAAGAAAAAAAAAAGAAAAATAACTAATTTGTAACATTGTAGAAATTTTTCTTTAATGACATAGATCAGATCCAGATTTTTCATATTGTTTCTTTTCAATTAATTGGAATTTAGCAATTTTAAACGAGTGTTTACTTTTTTTTTTTTTTTTTGGATTAAAAAAATATTCATTTACTTAAATTGAAAAAGATATTATTATATATTTAAGATTGATAAAAATTAAAAAAAATAAATCTATAAACAATCTTACAATTTCTAAGGTAATAGTATATAATACTATTTATCAAATCTATAATAAATTAAAGTAAATATATCGATTTGAATAAACAAATACCGTGTTAAAACAGAAAAATCAACTGATATTTACGGAAAAAAACTTCAGAGAAGGTGATTTTAATTTCTTGAAGATGAGTTTTCTAAACATGTGTTTACTTATGGCAAATCATAAACTGATTTTGAAATAAATGGAAACTCACTAATGTTTGAATATGCGGTGCATTTGTTTATAGTGTAGTACTAATTATGGTAGCTTTTTTGTTTGAATCGCGTAAAAATGAAGCTAAAGTCGGATTCACACATGCTATTGTATTTAAGATACATATATAATAAAAAAAGAAAAGAAAAGATGATTATGATTTTATTCTATAGTTCTTTTTTATAATTTTATTAGAATTGAGTACTTTAAAGAAAAAATTAATAATTATCTGTATTATTGAAAAATATACAATCATATCAGTATTACTTTTACATAAATAAAATTCATTTCAATTTTTTAAAAAGTATAATCAAACATGCAATAAATTAAGAGGGAAAATACATCAATTTTTACATTAAATATCAAGGCACGTAAAATTATGATTACACCTATTTTTAAAAAAAGTTTAAAGGAGATACATTAATTGTGTATAAAAAGTCTTATATTATTATTTAATATAAATATATAATTTTATTATATTATATAAATTTTAAAAAAATTAAAGTTTAATTTGACAAAATTTATGATCGTAATTAATTGATAATGTAAAACATTTTTACACTTCAATCTTTTTCTCTTTTAAAAATTATGATTTTATTTTCATTTTTATAAAATTTGTGATCTTTTAATTCAATCTTTTGTTGAGATTAATTGTCATACAATGTTAGTTAAATTTTTTTTATAACATCAACATATTACAATCACCCATAAATATTATTTTATTAATAATTAAAATAAAAATTAAACTTAATTTAAAATCTAATAATTATCATTCACTTAGAATGGAAAATTTCTTTATATTATGTGTATTCAAATTAAATTATTCTTTATTTTAAGTAAATCTCATGATTAATAAATGTTATTTTATTGGTTCCATAATTGTCAATGAAAAAAAAAAGTTAACTCTATCCATATATATATATATATATATATATATATATATATATATATATATATATATATATATATATATATATATATATATATATATATATATATATATATATATATATATATATATATATATATATATATATATATATATATATATATATATATATATATATATATATATATATATATATATATATATATATATATATATATATATATATGAAAATGTTAGATTAAATGATATTACATACGGTCAATTAAACTTCATCTTCTTACATGGTATTAACAGATTTTTAAATTAAAATTTCTTAAGTTTTTAAAATATTTGTTTTTTCTTTTTCCAGTCTTCTTCCTCTTTATTAATTTTCGTGAATCATCATCTTTCTCTTCATCATTTTAAACCTAAACAGAAAACAAACTTTAAAAAAAATCTAAATTCAAAAATTGTAAAGTGAATATAAAAATCTTCATCATCTCCATTTTCTAATTCATAAATATTTACAAATTAGTTTTGTATTGTATTTCGAAGAGATTTAAAAAATTTATAAATATGTATACATCAAAAATCTCAAATATATATGTAAAATAATATCATATTACATTTTGTTTCTCTGCTCTCTCACGATAAAAAAATCTTTGTTTCAGTTATATGATTTTGCAATTTGAATATCACGATGCAAAAAAAGAGATTGTGTCGTGATTATCACGGTATAAATATTTTAAATTAATAAATTTTTTTTTACTTTTCACATGAGAAGAAGAAGAAATTTTGAAAAAAAAAAGTAGTGTCGTGTAAATCACGACACAACGTAAAAAGTAAAAATAACAAAAATAAATATTTTAGTTTTTTATGTGGTGGAAAATTCAATTTTTTTAAAAATTATTAGTGTCGTATAAATCACGACGCATATTAAAATGTGTTGGAAAATAGTATATGATAAATATTTTCTATATTTTCAAATCTGCTTCGTTCTAAAATCATTTTCTCATCTGAACCATTTTTTTTCTTCTCATCAATCCAACTATTTCTCTTCAAATTTTGTATTGTTTCTATCCAATTTTATTAAAGTTTCTAACATTAAAATATAAAATTTTCATTTTATTTTGTAATATTTTAACAGTTTCATTTTATCTCTTATTTTAATTTTTTTTATAAAGTTATTAAAAAGTAGATCAAAGTCAAAAGTTCAAGAAATTGTTCAAAAATTTATGTTAAGAATTAATTAAGGTATGTTTTAATTATATATATATATATATATATATATATATATATATATATATATATATATATATATATATATATATATATATATATATATATATATATATATATATATATATATATATATATATATATATATATATATATATATATATATATATATATATATAGACTTGGGGATGATTTTTTCTCTTGAATATATATTTATTGTAATTTATAAATATTAAGTATTTTAATATTTGTATGTAAAAATTCAATTCGTATATGAGTTATTAATATTTTGTAAGTAAAAAATATTAAGTATATGGGTGGTTAATAGTTGTATGTAGGAAATATTAAATGTTTTAATATTTATATATAAAAATATTAATTTTCATTTTTAATTATTACTAATTTTATTTAAAGATATAACTATTATTTGAATTTTTTTTTATTAATTATAA